TCAGTGGTGTCAAAACAAAGGTCGCAGCCTGAGGAAAGACAAAAAATAAGTAACCAGTTAAATAAATAACACTACCGAAAAAACTCTGCATCAGACCTACCTGAACTCAACCAATTGAGATCACTGATGTGTTTAGTCTGGTTTCCTATGGGATTGTTGATCACACAGCTGTAAGTGTTGTTATCCTGATATTCCACCTCCAGAGGTAGAGAGAGACTGATGCTGAGATCAGACACACTGATGCTGGACAATACACTCATTCCTTTAAACCAGGAGAGAGTCACATGACTCACATTCAACACTGAACACAGCAATGAACATTTCGATAAAGGATATTGTGTGCAGTAACTAGAGATCTCAGGAATGGGGAGATGAGCTGGAAAACACAAGATATAAATGACAGTAAGATGAATATAAAGTTGGATTCTGAAATATTATTATGGGTAATGAGTCCCATGGACTAACATGAATATGAACAGACAGGAAAATGCACTCTACAAAACAGAAATCTACTCACGATAAACGGTAACATTGTAAAGCGCGGCTGGATCCTTCACTCCGATGCTTTGTTTATAAACTCCACTGTGTTCATGGCCGATGTTTGTGATGGTGAGAGATCCGGTGTGATTATCCAAACGGAGTCTGTCTATGAATCTCGAGTCGTTATAATCTGTAGAGAAGACACCATTCTTTTCCTTGATTCTTGCAATGCGAACACTTCCAAACCTCCACTCGATCTGCTCATATCTCTGTATGTCCGTGATGGTTTCTAGAGTGACAGATTCTCCCACCGTCACTGGCACTGTCTTCACCTCATCGGACTCAGCAACAAGCACACCTGAGGAACAATAATAAATCATGTAAATATACAGAAATATGCCAACAATACAATAGCCTAACGTCCTATTTGTTAACATAACAATGCATTACAGTATGTGTCATGAATTAACAACGTAAATGTATTAGTCTACATGTAGAAAATAACAGTGGCCCTAGGCCTAACCTATCTATCTATCTATGCTAATTATCTTCCTTTTTTAGGTAATCACACCATATTACCTTGACTAATGTTAACTAATTTGAATACCAAAAATGGAAATCCACAAAAAACTAAAAAAAAAAAAAAAAAAAAAGAGAGGTATATGTTCACATTATCCCATTAACATTAGCTGCCAGGAAATGAACAACCAATAAATAACAAAATAGAAATAATAAATAGAAAAATTACATAGAATCCAGTGCTTTGAAAAAAATATTTTGTTTGTTGTAATAGATTATATATATAATTTAGTCATTTTAATTCATTTAGTCAATTTGGTTTGCAAACTTTGCATTGAGACCACATTTGCATTTTTTATGTATAGGCTATGGTATTTTCCTAATAAAACAAAATAACTGTTGTTCTTTACATTCCAAATTGTCATTCTAAGTATAAAAAACATAAAAAACACAAATTTCTATCATACACTTCAGTTTTCTACAAATAAAGTTTTCTAAATAATTCTAAAATAATCTTGAGTAGCCTAAATACAAAGGGGGGAAAAAAACAGATACAAAATAGTTTATTTTTCTAGCGCACGAAATTCAAAACCACGTAGGCTACTTAAACATCATGTGTGCGATTTCAGTGACGTCATAGGCTGTACTTACCAACCAGATGAAAAAAGCACAAACAGAAGAAAATAAACGCGTGGATCATTTTCTCCAACCGTTGAGGTGAATCGCTAGAGTCTGCAGCCGATTTTGACAGAATGTGTTTTTAAAATACTATCTGATACCTCGAAATACTGTCTGTAGATAATTTGAGGTTTAGAAACTCCTTCCCTCAGCGCGCCTCCGTTAGATGCGCGAGAACGCGCTCTGTTTTGTGCACGGGAACGCGCTCAGTTTAGCAGCTCAGCTCTACAGATGTGTGCTCGGGTTTTTTTTTTTTTTTATAATAATGTTGCCTTCAACCAGACTGTGTTCCTTAATATATTCAATAGAATAATGCTCCTGACTGATCTTCACTGCAGTCATTATTTTTAGACTATGAACTTCGTTCTGATCTCTTTGTCAATTCAATTCACGTTTATTTGTAACACTTTGCCCATTATTGTTTCAAAGCATCTTTACAGAAAATGTAACATTATAATTTAGAGTCATTATCAGTGTTGACTGTCCTTGTATTTCAGAAATGTACATGTAGGCCTATAAATTGAGCCCGAAGGAAGGCTATTCTAGAGTTTAGTAGTAAAATGTGAAAACTCTCTCTCTCATAGTTCCAATCGGAACTATGATAGTTCCAAATTTCCCCTAAAAATGAAAATTATGTCATAATTTACTCTCTTACTTGATTTGAAATTGTATGAATTTATTTGTTTTGCTTAACACATTTTGAAGAATGTCATTGATCACAGTTGATGGACCCCATTGACTTCCATAGTATTTTTTTTCCTATATGGAACTATGGAAGTCAATGGGGTCCATCAATATCTGATTACTGACCTTCTTCAAAATGTGTTCAGCAAAAGAAAGAAATTCATACAGTTTTAAAACCACTTGAGGGAGAGTAAATGATGACAGAATTTTCATTTTTGGGTGGAGTATATGCAAATACACAGGAGCAAACCCATTTAGGGCTTTATAGGTCAGCAACAAAACTTTAAAATTGATGTGGAACTTAATAGACAACCACTGTAGAGATGATACAATTGTTATATGATATATTTTCTTGATCTAAGAACTCTAGCTGCATTTTAGATGAATATAGCTTGTTTATTGAGGATGCAGGACAAGTTTGTGTTACATAACCTAGAGGTCTAGAGGACTTTTGTGTTTGAGACCGTCACTGACACACATCTCTCATACGTGTAGAGGTGCTGCATGTCATTTTTCTGTTGTGCACTTGTTTGGTTCAGTCTACTTTCAATAGTTGTGGTCTTAAAGGAAATAATAATGCCTTCGCTTGTTTACCCATCAGTCAACCGCACACATGCAATAAACAGGAGCGAGACGTTTGTCCACTCAACAGAAACCACATTCATCTGGGTCAGTCTTCCTAAACTAACCTGAAACACACTCGACCGCAACAGGTTTCACTTTAACTCTGAAACTGAGCTGAGAGTGTGTGTAGCATTCAGTGGAAACATGTTTCAACTTGCAAGAGAAAAACGATTTATTCCACAGAAAAGAAAAAGCCCTTCACACACTAACGCTCAGACATCCAGGGAAAATAAACACCTTTTATTTGTGATTGTGTTATTGTCCTTTTTTTTCTTGTCTCACTTTTGGTTCACTTTTAATTCTGGTAACAGACTCGTGTCTAGAGTTGTTTTAAGATAACGATTCTGTAGCCATTGAATGCAAATAATCTTAATTGGAAATCGGTTCTCTGATCGGATCAGTTGTGAGATGGTCTCAGTTCTTGTGGTTATTTCTGCATCTTCTCTTCTCTGCGGTCACAGACCGTGTCTACAGGGAACAACAGCGTTAACAAAACCTCGCGCTCATTTACAATCCTCACGAAATACATTGAATAGAGTCTAATGAAGAGCTGACTTGATTTAAGTTTACACATTAATTCTTCTTACACATGTTATTTTCACTTCTCATTTCATATGTTTTTTGTGACTTTGAGTTTCCAGTAGACCACATCCTGCGACGGTATCTGTCTCGACACACACAAACTGACCCTTAATGTTCTTATATTGTGTTGTCTAGGGAACAACGGCATTAAAAAAAAACCCCTCAAACCTCTCAAAAAACACTGAAAAAAAGTACAATGAAAAACTGACTTGATTCATGTCACTTTGTGTACACATTAGTTCTGTGTTCTTCTCTTTTTAAAGGGATAGTTCACTTTGAAATTAATTTTTGGTATGTTTTTAGCTTACCTTAAGGGCATCCAAGCCCTCAGATCACTTAGAGGTGACTATGAAGAGGTAAAAATGATATAAATACTGTTTGTTTTCTCACACAAGGCCATCAATGTGTACTTACATTTACGAGTCATTAAATCATGTTTAATTTGGACTTCTCATGCTCGCTCTTTGAGGTGGTGACCATAGACCTCCATTATATGACTGATAGACGTGAATGGTTTGACCTAAAAATATCAAAATTGAAAATACTCTGGCAACAAAGACTTGGATGCCCTTGAGGTAAGCTAAAACAAATCAAAAATTAATTTCAAAGTGAACTATCCCTTTAGGACGACTATATATTTTTGTTAACTTCATGTTCCAGTTGACCAATGACATTATAACTGGTTTAATGTGACTTATGTTTCAATCATCATATAATCTCTTATTATTAAAATATTCTGCAGGCAAAAAAAAAAAAAAAAAAAGTTTCAGCAGACCACATCCTGCAGACAGTTTCTGTTTTTGGGTATTTAAACCACATTTTTCAGTGCACAATTGAATGTAAATGTGTATTTACAGAGATTTTAAAGTACAGAGAGTTTGTTTATCACATTTTTCATTTACTTTGATGTAGATATGTGATTACAAGGAAACTGCATGACTTGTGTCGACTTGTGATATCAAGCCATCATTTCGCATATGAATTTGGGCTATATATTGCACATCTTCGCCTCCTAGTGTCCTGAAATGAAAATGTCTGATTGTAATAGACTGAAGTTGACCTCACGATGATGTAGCAAAACCTTTTTCTCCACAATGTAAATTTTGACCAAAACCTGATCAGACAGTTCATTTTGTTGAATGCTCATGAGTAAAATTTGCTAAGGATATGCTCATGGGAAATATGTGCTAATAATAGGTTATGCTCATGAGTAATATGTGCTAATAATAGGTTATGCAGATCCAGACAAGTGTTTTAAACGGATTTCTACATAAAGAAGTTGTACTGACTTGTACTGCATCTACTGATTACAGCAGCACTTGTCTTGATTCGGTTGACAGTTCCAGTTATTAGGCAATACATGATACTGACGATTAATAAGAAGATTATAAATATCAAGAATAAAATACCCTGTCTCTCTCTCTGTGTGAAAATGTTCAACCTTAATGAACACCTCAAGGTTCACTTTGGGATGACGTATCACATCCGCTACCTTCGCAGAAATCACGTGACTTAGTTCGATTAGAGCCCATCATCATCATCATCATCATCATAATCAGTAAGCTATCCTGGATCAAGTCATTCAGTTTGGATGCGGTCAGAAGTGACATCAACATGAGGAACCTGTCTCTCCTTTTGGGGCTTGTACTTGTCCATGGTGAGTCACGTTCATATTAATTCGACACTTTCGGTTTTCAAAACGCGCGTGCTGCACACAAACATCTTAAGATGTTTGTGTGCATTTCTGAACCAGCGTTTCTTACCATTCTTAATAATTATTACCTTTATTCAAAAAAACGTTTATTCATATGCCAGGATGTCAGCACCTTTAAAAGCCATTAAAAGTGTAATTTTAGTAGAAGTGGTGTTTGTTTGATGGTGAAAACTAGAGGGTGCTGACTGCTGACGCCCTGCAATATCCTACTATTTTACGTGAAAACCGATAAAAGAATCAGTGTTTCTGCTTATAGTGGAATTTAACATAATCATTCGCTGTTTTGCTCTATGCAGGTTTTGTGAGGTGATTGTTGTCAGTCATGGCGCGAGAGAACAGAAGACACAAATACAGCACATTAACTAGGTTACTCTTTAGTGTGTTGGTGAACTGTATAGCCTATCAATATAAAAGACATTTTTAACTTTTTTTTTTAAATATAAATTTAAGAATGATCCGTGATAATGTTTATTGCTTTACAACTTTCAGTGGAACTAGGTCAAAACCGGAAAAAGATAACACGTGATTACCATCAAACGAGAATTTTTATGGCTGTTACGAACCTGCTCTTGTAACAGGTGTGGGTTTGTTTGAAGTGTCTATTTCTTCAGAATTTTTATGCCACCCGGCCACGCCTTATTTCATTCGAAAGATTTTTTGTCAAGGTTTTTTAATTATAATTGTATAATTGGAAGAACATAAAACCAGTGAGGATTCGTAGAAATGACTCAGAGAGACAGTTGTGAGGGATTTAAGGAGTTTTTGAATGTACACTCTAAACAAAAATGGTGCTATATAGCACTAAAAGTGGTTCATTGGCTTGTAATCATGGGGAACCACTTTAAGTGCCATATCTTTATCAAATGGTGCTGCTGTGTAGAACCATAAGAGGTGCATTATAGCACCTTAACCACCCCATAGAACCGCTGAAGAACCAAACTGGGCTTAACGGGTTCTTTTAATGGTAATGGTGCTATATAGCACCATGACCACCGCAAAGAACCCATGAAGAACTTTTTTTTTTTTTTTTTTTTTTTTTTTTTTTGAGTGTCCAGGTAAAAAGTTCCTTACAAAAAACTAAAGTAGGGCTTAGCACCCTGCGTGTAAGAAAATAAAGTCCTAGAAATACTAGCAAATTACTAGAAAATAAATGTTTATTACAGTACTTTATTAAAGTTGAAATGAGCATCTCATTCATGCTATGGAAAATATTATATTTCCACTTGTGAACTGCTATTTACCATTGTTCAAGTGCTTTTGTTGTCATAGAGCCTAATAAGTTTAGAGCCTACATCTGGCAAAGGGACTACCAAAGAAAACTAGCCTTCGGGCTATTTTGGATATATTTATGTTTAAGAATGTTAATTAATGTACACTGGCCCCTTTTTCTAATAAATAAATAAATCTGCTACAGCAAGAAAATGATTTATCCAAACTCAAACGAATATGCTGTATATTTTCTAGATCATGAACAGTAGCATGTTAAATCTGGTCGGGTTAATTGAAATAAAATTACAGTATATGATAATTGCATTTATTTATTATGTGTGTGAAATTACTATGATTTCAGGTTCTGTACTATACTGTAAATCTCATCAAACTCAGGTTTGTTTATCTGTGCAATGCTTGTGTTTGCGTGTGAACTTCCTGATACAGTAACTTCCTTTTTTTTTTGATTTATGGTTGGTGTTTTTTGTTTTTGTGAGGTGGGAAAGAGAGAAAGAGAGGGGGGACGCTTGCCCTCGAGGTTATCAGCGCCGACAGGAACTTACTTTTGACAGTTTACAAGTCATGACAGGTTTAATTAAAAAACCAGCATAATAGCATTTGCTACACTTAAAAATAATGTCAGGAAATCTAATTGCCTGAGTCTTTCTTTTTCATCCTGTATATTGTTTAGTAAATGTTCTAGCATCTGTCACAGTGTTACAGTATGTTTTAGAAGTACATCTGTAAATCTTGCCAGCAGTTTTACTCTCTGTTTAGAAACGGTTTCTGTTTGTTCCTCAGGAGTGTTTGGTGTCGATGAAGTGAAGTCCGTGTCCGTGATGGTGGGAGATTCTCTCACTCTAAACTCTGATTTTACTGAAACAAAGGGAGACGAGCTGCAGTGGAGGATTGAAGGTGAAAGCAATGTCTTAGCACAGATTGATAGAGAAGTCAATAAATTCTTAGTTCCTGGGAATAATGAAGAGAGATTCAGAGGCAGACTGAAGCTGGATCATCAGACTGGATCTCTGACTATCATGAACATCCGAAACACAGACTCTGGAGAATATGAACTAAAGATCAAGGACAGCATGAATGAGAACAATTACAGATTCACTGTCACTGTCCGCGGTGAGTAACTCGGTGTGATCATTATGTGGTGTAATCACATTGATACACAATAATCCTTTATGAATAACTGTTTATTTATTTAAGTTCCCCAAGTTCATAAACACTTATGATGATTGAAATTACAAAATAGCCTTAAATGATTAAATAACTTGCAAAATGTTTTGTTTTCTAATGGATTGCTTCTGACAGGGTTTCAAAACACCAAATACAAGTAAAAATCACAGTTGAAACAATGTTACTCCCGATATATATGCCCGATAACTTTCTTAATGAATTTTGACAATGTATGATTTTAAGAACGTGATATTTAGATTGATGATCAAATCGCAACCGTTGTGATGTAATATAAACAGTGTTAATGCATAGTAAATGCGACTCTGCAGTGTTTGAGTCGCTTATAACTTGCATTTAAACACATGCGCCAACCATCACCCAAAATTAGACAGACTATATATATTTTTAAACATTTTAAAATGCACACTATTTTGAGAGAATTTATTATTTTAATGTTTTTAGTGATTACTTTATGGAAGTTCAATCATTTAATGTAATTTAATTCATGTATTTGTATTTAAATATTTCATTAACATCATTGTAATTGCAACAGAAAGGTTTGTCAACTATTTTTAATATTTCAAAGTTTATAAATATTTATATCAATACGTATTTGTTTTCCGCTTTGCATTTGTTCTTTTATATTTTGTGTTCTTTAAACCATGAGGAAATAAATCCTGTTATCACAAATTAGGTCCTGTTGCGTTACCATTGTTTTGGCTCAAATTCCTGATTCGGAGCTCTTTTATTTCCAGATGTCATGATTGGAGTTTGTTTTTATCAAAAGAGTAGGTATAGAGGAGAAACAGGTCTTAAAAATTCAGTGCCAATCTTTAAAGTGGCACAAAACCCGATGACCTTGTTCTCCAGCATGATTTGAGATGTTCCAATGAGCATCTGGAGTTTCAACGGAAGAAAAAAACATCTGACCGTCTGTATCAGAGTTTACCAAACTGAAGGGGTTAACTACTCTCCCTCTTGTCATTCCAAACCCATAAGACCTCCGTATATTTTCGCAACACAAAATGAAGATATTTTTTATGAAATCCGAGAGCTTTCTGACCCCTCATAGACAGCAATGTCATTGCAACTTTCAAAGCCCAGAAAGCTATTAAAGACTTTGATAAAATTCGTAACTGTGGTTAAACATTAACGCTATGAAGCAATGAGAATAATTTTTTTGTGCACCAAAATCTAAACAAAAATAGAGACTTTGTTCAACAATCTCTTCTCTTTCATTTCATTCTCCTATGCTGTTGACGTAAGAATCTATGTAAGAATGCCAGCTTACTATTGGCCACTATTGACTATTGCTCACGTGACTAGCGTCGGCCAATGGTAAGCCAGCTTTCTGGCGATGAACCTCGAAGCACTGCATTGTGATTTCTTGGGTCAACAGTGTAGGAGAATAACGTGGAAAGAAGAGATTGTTGTGTAATGAATAGTTGTTGAATAAACTAATCAAATGGTTTTGGAGCAACATGAGGGTGAGTGAATAATGACAGAATTTTTGGGTGAACTAACCCTTGAAGGTCACGGGCACCGGCTATGGGTTTGAAAAGAGAATAGAAGGGGTTTGTGAGTCCAAGACACACATGTAAAATCATAATAATGTTAATATTACTATATATACCCAGGTGAAAAAGACGTTGTATTAAATGTATTAAAAATATATTTGAAATACAAATAGTGTGTTTATAATACATTTGTATTTACAACATGCTTATTTAAAGTGTACTAAAAATTTATTTTATTGCATTTTAGTATATTTCTAAAAAGTATACTAGAAGTACATTGGTAATAAATATATATTTAATTACACTTTTAAGAAATATACTATAGAAAAGCATACTTTTAATGTATTTATAAAAAGTATATTAGTAATATATTGGTAATAAATGTATGCTTTATTATATTTTTAATAAATATGCTAATGATAATTATACTTTAAATGTATTTCTAAAAAGTATATTAGAACTACATTGGTAATAAATATATGTTTAAATACACTTTTAAGAAATACACTATAGAAAAGCATACTTTTAATGTATTTCTAAAAAAGTATATTATTAGTACATTGGTAATAAATGTATTCTTAATTATATTTTTAATAAATATGCTAATGACAATCATGCTTTAAATATGTTTCTAAAAAGTGTACTAGAAGTACATTGGTATTTAATTACATTTTTAAGAAATATGCTAAATACAAACATATTTTAATTGTATTTAAAAATGTTTTACTAGAAACGCAATGCAAATAAATATACACTTAATTACACTTTTAGAAATATGCTAAAAACAAACATAGTTTTAGTGAAATTTTAGTGTATTTACAGAAAGCATACTTGTTGCTAAATTAAAGTATTTTTTGTGTTTACTTTGTGTGTATAGCAATTTGTAACCTTATAACTTATTTAACCTTGTATAGGACTAGCAATATATTTTTAATATTTATGTTATACTGTAGCATGTGCTTCAGCCCTGCTTTAAAAAAATATTGTGAAAAACAACTGAGACATATATCTATATCTATATATATATATATATATATATATATATAAAGTTTAAAAATTACAAGTAATGCACTTCTATACTTCTGCATTAATTAATCAAATAGTCTTTTCCACAAAACAAGTGAATACCAGTACTTGCACACATCAACATAAAAGATCAGGTACATACTAGAAAAACGAAATAAATTTGTTAAAGCTTTACTCTTACATTTGTTTAGCCAAAATGAATAAAAAACCTGTTTATAAAGCATGTTATGTTTATATTAACAGAGTTGTTTCTTTTTTTGTGGCCGTTAGTTAGTTAGTATTTCCAGTTGCATTCATTTGGACCAATCAGAGCTAATCTTTTCAAAACAAGCTTGCCGGCAATTGTCCAATCACACACTGCCATTTGAACTTACATGTTGGGCGGGGCGCAGACAGCGGATACTGACTGTCTGTGGTATTCCATTATAGCTTCGGATATTTCAACAGAAATCATGTATTTTCCAAATTTTGCTTTGTTATTTCACTGACTCTGACCTATGTGGATAGCACCGATCTAATATTAAGAGAACACACGAGCAGATTACCAGGTCGTCAGCTCCCGCGAACAATTTAGCAGTGAAGAGGACAACGCAGAGGTACGCCGCCACGACATGGACAGAGCAAGATACTGCCAGAAAATATCTTACTTCTTGGTGGTAAGTTTATTAGTTTAAGTGATTAGTATAATTGGCTTTATTCTCACTTTGGGTTTAGTTTAAAATATTTTCAGAAGTTGATGACGATGTTCTGTGGATTACTGGCGTTTCTGTTGATTTGACACTAAAGCGAGTTAACGTTTATCCATTGACGTCTATCAACTTAATGTTATAGATCTAGACAGTGAAAACAACTATAAAAACATTGCACACTGTGTTTGCAGAAAAAAAAGGTTATTAATGGTGATTACACGACAGGCTTGATTGTCCCTAAGTAACTTCTTGTGTTTTAAATATTATAATATATTTTAAACTCTAATAAAACTTACACATTTGTGATATTTAATTCATAGTAAAATCTAATTAATTATTAGTAGGCTGTCAGTTTTCATGTCAATTCGATAAATAAATTAAGTTGTAATCACCAACTATAAGCTTTCACAAAACCAATTATTAAATATCTTGCACTGAGAAATTAAAATGATGTTAAATAATGAAATGAGAGATTTTATATTTAATATTTAGCCTAGCCAAGGAATTTGCACATTGCAAAGACATTTTTTTATTAAACCTAACCGTGAGTAGATGAGGTCAAGTCGAGTAAGTAGTAGTTGATCCTCTTGATTTGTAACTTTTTGTTGGTGAAAAACAACAAAAAAGCAATAGTGTGTCATGTAGCAGCTAAGTAGCTAAGTGACCTATTATATATTAACACGTATTTGAAAAATGAATATGTATTTTGCCTGATTATGCATTGAATTATGCAATCACATAATCGTGTTTTTCTCGAGGGACTGATTTATATGATTTTATGTGTGGTATTCAGCTTTTTTACATTTAATCAAGTCGTTATCAGCTGTCACCAACTTGTAACTTTCAATAGAATGTTCTGTCTTTATTAATAATGAATAATTAATAATAGCGTGGAAGTTACAGTAATGGTTCATTAAATATGTTTCACCATTTAAACAAAAGACAAATTATATATGAAGAACACAAACTAGTGTTTGTTCTGCCCTAACTTTGTATAACATGCAACTTGATTTTTTCTTGTAGAGTTTCCAGGGATATTAGCATCTCTCAAAGAGGCCCTGGAGGCCATGAAACGAGGTTCATTCAGCTCAAGCCCAAGATCATCTGAGCTGTGTCTTCCTGAAACCTCAGAAATGGTTAGAAAATTCTTTATGATAAAGAAAAATCCTATTTGTTATAATAATTATATCTGACTTTTTGTGCATTAAGTGTTCTGAATTAAGTAACAAAGTGACAGCTTTTTATTAGAATTATAAATGAACAAGTTTATACTAATGCTTGTTTTTTTTATTCTTTTCAGATTTCCCTCGGTGGTTCTGATGTCCCCAAAAGAGTCTATGGCAGACTGAAAAAGTCACGAACTTCTCTTTTTACTCAAGATTTGGCCACTTTACTTTTTGCTATTGTATTTCACTTTGTTTGACTTAAAGGATTAGTTCACTTTAAAAAAAAAAACAACCTTTTGCTGATAGCTTACTCGCCCCCATGCCAAGATATCCATGTCATTCTTTCTTCAGTTGAAAAGAAATTAAGGTTTTTGATGAAAACATTCCAGGATTTTCTCCATATAATGGACTTCATTGGGGACCAAACGGTTCAAGGTCCAAAAGACAGTTTCTATGCAAACTGTTCAAAGGGCTTTAAACGATTCCAGACGATGAATAAGGGTCTTATCAAGCGAAACGATCGGTCATTAAAAAAAAAAAAAAAGTTTAAGTTTTATAAGCTCAAATGGTCGCCTTGCTCTGTTCTGTCATGCATGTTCATGACTCTCCTATTTGAACTCGTTCATCAAAATTAACAAATCTTTTTCCGAGTCATTAGGTTCATTCAATGAACGAAATGAATGAATTGACTCGAAAAAAGATTTGTCAGGGCTGCCAACTCTCAAGCATTCAGCACAAGACTCTCGCAATTGAGCCAATTCTCATGCTTTCACAACAAATTGATCAACAAAAATCCCAGTGAAGTCCATTATATGGAGAAAATCCTGGAATGTTTTCATCAAAAACCTTAATTTCTTTTCGACTGAAGAAAGAAAGACATGGACATCTTGGAAGACATGGGGGTGAGTAAATTATCAGCAAAAGTTTTTTCAAAAGTGAACTACTCCTTTCAGTTAGTTTATTTATTTATTTATTTTTGTTCTGTTTAATACCTCTGCAAATCAATGCATTTTATGTTAATGTATTTTGTTTAGTTTTCATAATGCTTTACTGATGTAGTGCATTAAAGTTTATCTTTCAAAGAGTGTTTGTGTGTTTTGTAGAAATATTTTTTTACTGGGTTTTGTTGAATTCAAATGTTTAAATGTATTTTTAATACATTAAAATATATTATTTTTATATTAAATGGTTTTTGGAAAAATATATTTTTAATATGTTAATAGTGGGTCCTATAGTGTTCTACTAATACATTATTAATAAGCTGAAATTATATTTAAAATATACTTAGAACGCATTAATGTGAAGCTAAAAATATACTAATACTGTATTTCTAAAGTCTATTTAAAGTGTATTAAAATACACTTTAAATAAGTGCTATTATATTACATTAAATGTACTTAAAATGGTTCCATTTTAGCACAATTTAGTATAATAAAATATATTACTATTACCTTAAAATTGAACTTAAATACATATTAAAGTACACTTAATATACTTGAAGTTGTTTCAATTTAGCACATTTAATACATATTTAATACGGTATACTTAAAATACATTAAGTATATCAAAATAAGTACAATTTAAATATATTTCCTTTTCACCTGGGTACCTGAACGCCATATGACCATTAACTGACAACAGAGAAACATTTACATGCAAATGGGTTGTTAATTTATTGAAATATTAACATCCTGGGGGGACTTCAAGAAAATGAAGTCAGAAAAGCAGACAAAAAAGTTTGGAGATCTCTTGTCTGTACAAAGTCACACTAACAGTGTAGCTTATTATATGATTACTCACAAAAAATACACAGTGTGAAATATTTCTTGTTAAATAACATTTTTTATTTTTGTTTAAAATCTTTCTGCTTATTTTCACATTTAACTTAGATTTGGAGTCACAAATACTCAGGTTCGCTGGCATTTTCTGCCCCTATAGTACATGTTCATTTAAAAATGTATTTTTTGAAAGTGACTTGCAGCATGAAATTAAACCATTTCCGTGTGTTCTCCAGATGTGTTTTTTGTTGATGCAGATGGAGTGAAGTCAGTATCAGTGACTGAGGGAGATACTGTCACTCTACACACTGGTGTTACTGGTGATCAGATACAGTGGAAGTTTGGAGATCAAGAGTTAACCTTTTAACTGTCGCCCCCACTAGTTGAGCTCAAACCCAAACCTGACATACACACACTAAACCAGTCACAGTTCATGAACCCTCTGTACTATACGCATAATTCTGGTCTCTTTAGAAAGATGACACTTGGGAGTTTGATATTCAGGTATCAGAATTAATTATATTACTAGTAAAAAATGGTTAGAGAAGATTATATATTTTGAAAAAGCCATTATTATCTAATTTGCATCAAATGCATTTAGGAATAAACATATGAAACTGTGCCAGAACAATTTGAAAAGTAATGAAGTCAAAGTCAGAACAAGTTAGAATTAAAATCTGAAGTTGAAGACACTAAAAATTTGGTTCTTGTAATATTGTTTCCTTGTGAAAGCACATAAAAATAAATAAATAAAAAAGTCATTTGGAGAACCCGAAAAGCCTGATTAGTTCAATTAGTTGAACCACAACATAACACTATTTATAAATGAGTGTAATTATTAAAGCTGCAGTTTATGAACATTCAATCATTTTTGCCTTGTTTAAACAGTTAAGCTGTCTAAAAACAATTGTTCATCACAAGTTACGAACATGAGATGTCTTATTTATTTCTGCTCTATTGTTCTCGGTTAAATTACAAATTCTAATGCAAATAATCAAATCTGTGATTTCAAACTGTTATTTTGTCATCCACTCTTTAGGCATAAAGCATAGTGCTAGTACAGCACATCTCTCACTATCACTTTGTAGTTTTCTCTGTTAATTTTTTTAATAACTAATACACATTGAATGCAAACTCAAATTAATACTGGCTCCATTCTGGTATATAACAAATATTAACATCGAATCAATTCTAATATAAAATCCTGGTAAATCACATTGAATATCCTGTTTCACTTGGTAACATATAGAAGTAAAATAAGTTTGAAATCCGTTTCAGGTTGATTTTAACACTTTAAATTGTTGTATGTTAGGGTTCTGTCAAATTATCTATTGCTGACTCAAACACTGAAAACAAAATGTGTGTTTTCAGTGTTTAAGCCAGCAATGAATAATTTGTAGGTTGATTCCCAGAAAGGTTTAACACTGTGATTGTGTGGTGCAATCAAACATTGTTTGAGCATCCAGAGCAGACTGACAGCAACACTGGCTAAACCAATGAAGTGAGTTTGGTGAAAACGCAGGGGGCAAGACAGAGGCTTTAAGAAACCTATTTGAATATTTAGTGATTGTCATAATTTTTGCAATTCCATTTTAATGCAAGTGACACATAAATTACACAATGCACCTTCACTAGGATTACAAAAGTTAAAATACCTAGCTACAAACTTTTATGTTTCAAACCTACACACACAAGGCTGACTGAACCAAACCCCTTCTCCCCTCCCCCTCCTCCAGAAATCTATACTCTTTAATCATCTGTATGTTGGCTGCATTCTCCATTATTCAAAACTTTACACTGGCTGACTGTGTGTAAGATATTTTATAGGTTGGGCATATTTGGATGACACAAGTCGGTGGTGTTGTTTTGAATCATATTTTTGCTTTTGAATCACTGACCAATCAGCACCTCACAAAGAACGCTGGGGGAGGGGTTACACTGTACATAATATTCTAGCAAGCAAGATGATATAAAATTGTAGGCTACTACTGAAATGCCTCCTAGAGTACATGACTCCTACATATTCTACAATAAATGATGATTCTCTGTGAAGATATGTTATGTAAACAAAGCTGATTTAAACAATATTTCTCTTAAATTAGCCCTTTTTGGACTAAAACTCTATGTTATGGATTCTTGACAATAAAACCACCCCTGTTTTATGATACAATGAATCTGTCATCTTCAATGGACAAAACTAGTTTAAAAATCCCCAATTTGAAGTTACGTGTATTGTTACGTTCTTTCAATAAAAATTAAAAATGATGTTGTCGCTATATATTACAATCATAAATATCGATGCTCAAGCCTTTAAACTTTAAAATGATGCATTGTTTGTTCATTTTACTTTAAACCGTTTTAGTAAAATCATTCAGGAAATGCTAATTTATAAACATCAGAACCAGCGATGGTTTCATGCAAGTTAATGGATTAAACAGCCCTGTTGACGCAAGATGGGAAAACATTGATGTGAATGATCAAACCAGAGACCTCACTATCAAAAACATCCGCATCAATCAGTCTGGAGTTTATAAAGTGGAGATCAACACCAGCAGTATGATCTTACACAGAAATTTCTATATGACTGTTGGTGAGTAGCTGTTCTGTTAAATTCTTGACTCGGTGATGGCTCAACCGTTAGATGCTCATATCTGCTCTTAAGCCTTAAACTCTTCAGGTAATTTATTTTCACATAGGCTACTGGTGTACAGAAAGACAGTCATAAAGTCAAAACTTAAGTGACATGATTGGGCATTTACAGTTTTAACAAAATTTATGTTTAAAGTAGGCCTAACTAAAGTTAATTGGGTAAAGAGATACGGTAATTAATAGGAAAATAAAGCAAACACATGGCGCATATTTCCGCACAATATAATTTCTTAATCCCGCGCTTTTTCTAAAATTAAAAATAATTCATACTATAGGCCTATCCATTTATGATAATTCCAGGTGTCTATGTTTGTGTGGGTTGTTTGCACATTTAACTTGTGGTCATGAGAAACCTGTGTTTTCCCCTTAACATAGGATCTTGGGCCCACAACTTATTTTTCCACAAGTTAAAGGATTTTCCCAGGAGTTAATATCAATATTCAGGGTTGCTGCAATATTTGTAAGGCATGGGAGGGGAGGCGCACTAACAAGGAGGCTAAAGACTGCAGGTTGTATATGGTTGTATGCCATAATTATTGAAAAGCCTATGAAAAGACTATGAAACTAAAAATCAATCAACCTTAGTGAAATACATTCATGCGCATTGCTGAAATGAGAAAAATGGGAAAACTTAACCATTGCCTAAAAGAGTTTGTGAGACATGTTAAACTGAATGCAATTGAGGACAAAGTTTCGTTTCAAGTGAAATGACCTCTTATCAACTACGTTAATAATCTCTTAATTCAGTAATCAGTATGAATGAATTTCACAAAGGTTGATCAATGTTTTTCGTTTCAGTAGTGTTAGAGGCTTTTCAATAATTATGGGCTATACGACCACTCAAACTGCAGTGCAGTGTATAGTGTCAGTCACACACTCAAGCGCCTCTTGAGGACATGGGGAGTGAGGTTTACACGCACAGCTTACTGGCCTATGCCTGTTACATCTGCCAATGAAACAAATTTCATTAGCTGTTATTGTGCAGCATTATTCATTAATCACAAGTTCATTGAAACATTAAATGCCCAAATAAAATGTAAACATCTGGGGTATGAACTACATTTTATGTAAAGCATGTTCACTGAAACTTAACTTTGTTTATATATATATATATATATATATATATATATACTGTATATTGTTAAGATCATATGTCCTCTGTATGTGTTTGTTGTTGTGACAGATGGAGTGAAGTCAGTTTCAGTGAAGGAGGGAGAATCTGTCATTCTACACACTGGTGTTACTGAAATACAGGGATATGATCTGATAATGTGGAAAATTAATGATAATCTCATTGCTGAGATCAATAAAGGGTCTAAACGATTACTAATCATTGACAAAGACAATAAGAAATTCAATGGCAGATTACAGATGCATCACCAATCTGGATCTCTCATCATCAGTGACTCTGAAACCAAAGACTGTGGAGTTTATCATCTGGACATGATCAGCAGCTCACACACCTTAGAGAGGACCATCAGTGTTACTGTCAGGGGTGAGTAGATCAGATCTTTCAGTATCTTCATCTTTCAACATAAGAAAATCTATTAAAGAAATGAAAAATTGCATAGAGAAAATTAACTCTATGCAATCAATGTTAATTCAAAATTGTATTTGATTTTGATTTAATTTAGTTTGATTTTAACCTTAGATTCATATTTCAAATATTTAAGAATAAGACGTGCAAAAGTTTAAATCAGTGAATAGAAAATCAGGTGACAAATGACAGTTGTGACAAAGATGAACATCCATGGACATATTTGCATTTTTTTTTTTCTTATTTTGGAACAAAAAGGTCTTCTACTGGTAAGATACTATTACTCAAGTGTGGGTTTCAGGTACTTTATCCACCACTGTCTATTACCACCCTCTGCTATTTACACCATCAACAGAAATCACTCAGGTTATATAGTGCTGATGTTTATAGTGTGTGTTATAGATCAGACACACTCACACTAATGTCTGTCTTTATCATTACAGTATCAGATCTTCACTCAGGTTATATAGTGCTGATGTTTATAGTGTGTGTTATAGATCAGACACACTCACACTAATGTCTGTCTTTATCATTACAGTATCAGATCTTCACTCAGGTTATATAGTGCTGATGTTTATAGTGTGTGTTATAGATCAGACACACTCACACTAATGTCTGTCTTTATCATTACAGTATCAGATCTTCACTTAGGTTATATAGTGCTGATGTTTATAGTGTGTGTTATAGATCAGACACATTCACACTAATGTCTGTCTATCATTACAGTATCAGATCTACACTCAGGTTATATAGTGCTGATGTTTATAGTGTGTGTTATAGATCAGACACACTCACACTAATGTCTGTCTTTATCATTACAGTATCAGATCTACACTCAGGTTATATAGTGCTGATGTTTATAGTGTGTGTTATAGATCAGACACACTCACACTAATGTCTGTCTTTATCATTACAGTATCAGATCTTCACTCAGGTTATATAGTGCTGATGTTTGTAGTGTGTGTTATAGATCAGACACACTCACACTAATGTCTGTCTTTATCATTACAGTATCAGATCTACACTCAGGTTATATAGTGCTGATGTTTATAGTGTGTGTTATAGATCAGACACACTCACACTAATGTCTGTCTTTATCATTACAGTATCAGATCTACACTCAGGTTATATAGTGCTGATGTTTATAGTGTGTGTTATAGATCAGACACATTCACACTAATGTCTGTCTTTATCATTACAGTATCAGATCTTCACTCAGGTTATATAGTGCTGATGTTTATAGTGTGTGTTATAGATCAGACACACTCACACTAATGTCTGTCTATCATTACAGTATCAGATCTACACTCAGGTTATATAGTGCTGATGTTTATAGTGTGTGTTATAGATCAGACACATTCACACTAATGTCTGTCTTTATCATTACAGTATCAGATCTACACTCAGGTTATATAGTGCTGATGTTTATAGTGTGTGTTATAGATCAGACACACTCACACTAATGTCTGTCTTTATCATTACAGTATCAGATCTACACTCAGGTTATATAGTGCTGATGTTTATAGTGTGTGTTATAGATCAGACACATTCACACTAATGTCTGTCTTTATCATTACAGTATCAGATCTTCACTCAGGTTATATAGTGCTGATGTTTATAGTGTGTGTTATAGATCAGACACATTCACACTAATGTCTGTCTTTATCATTACAGTATCAGATCTTCACTCAGGTTATATAGTGCTGATGTTTATAGTGTGTGTTATAGATCAGACACACTCACACTAATGTCTGTCTATCATTACAGTATCAGATCTACACTCAGGTTATATAGTGCTGATGTTTATAGTGTGTGTTATAGATCAGACACATTCACACTAATGTCTGTCTTTATCATTACAGTATCAGATCTTCACTCAGGTTATATAGTGCTGATGTTTATAGTGTGTGTTATAGATCAGACACACTCACACTAATGTCTGTCTATCATTACAGTATCAGATCTACACTCAGGTTATATAGTGCTGATGTTTATAGTGTGTGTTATAGATCAGACACACTCACACTAATGTCTGTCTTTATCATTACAGTATCAGATCTTCACTCAGGTTATATAGAGCTGATGTTTATAGTGTGTGTTATAGATCAGACACACTCACACTAATGTCTGTCTATCATTACAGTATCAGATCTACACTCAGGTTATATAGTGCTGATGTTTATAGTGTGTGTTATAGATCAGACACACTCACACTAATGTCTGTCTATCATTACAGTATCAGATCTACACTCAGGTTATATAGTGCTGATGTTTATAGTGTGTGTTATAGATCAGACACACTCACACTAATGTCTGTCTTTATCATTACAGTATCAGATCTACACTCAGGTTATATAGTGCTGATGTTTATAGTGTGTGTTATAGATCAGACACACTCACACTAATGTCTGTCTTTATCATTACAGTATCAGATCTTCACTCAGGTTATATAGTGCTGATGTTTATAGTGTGTGTTATAGATCAGACACATTCACACTAATGTCTGTCTTTATCATGACAGTATCAGATCTTCACTCAGGTTATATAGTGTTGATGTTTATAGTGTGTGTTATAGATCAGACACACTCACACTAATGTCTGTCTATCATTACAGTATCAGATCTACACTCAGGTTATATAGTGCTGATGTTTATAGTGTGTGTTATAGATCAGACACATTCACACTAATGTCTGTCTTTATCATTGCATATCCAGGTCTGTCTTCAGGTGCTTTAGCAGGGATTGTTGGTGGTGTTGTTCTGCTGGTGTGTGCTGCAGTTTTAGCTGCTGTTGTGATTTACCAATGCCGCACAATCTCTAAACTACGTAGAGGTAAGTATCACCCACAGTTCACATAATCTGGAAATAAACCTGAGTGAAGTGTGAATACCGTTAAACAATAAAAGAAGAAGGGCAGAGACTGAACTGTGATCTGCATCTGAGTGTCTGTAGAAAACTCAAACTGAACATCATAACTAAAATTACTGTCAGAACACTTTCTCCATCCAGTACGATCTAATCTGATTGGCTGTGTTTATTCACCTTCTAAAAGTAGATTTACACATGTGTGTTTATCAGTACATCTGTTTACAAGATACCAGATTGATACAGGAAGTGTTTTTGACTATAAAATAATTATTTGCAAAAGATTAAAATATGTGTTGAAGGAATCACAAGGAAATGAAAAATACTGATCAGGATGGATAAACATTGTTAGATGTGACAAAGATGACATTGGTCTCTTTAATTTAACTTTACCGTCAGATTTTCTGAGCTTCACTAACTGACCTTCATTCAGATATCAACGTGTAATACCTGTAACATATTTAATTAAAAAAAGTGAGCTAATTTTAATATATATATATATATATATATATAGATATACATATAACATACTGTATATTCAATAAAAACTTGCAATTAATAAGAAAGATTTATTTACTTTTCACAGACTCAATTATTGTATTTAAATATTTTGTATAATATATTAATTTTCCCTTTTGAGTTTATTCTTCACTGTTTGAGACACAATAAACTCAAGTGACACGTTAAAATAAAATGAAGAAATCTATTATTAATGGATGCATTAATTACACTGTTAGACCTTACCAGGTTTTTTACAGTAAAATACTGGCAACAATGTTGCCAGTAATTTACTGTAAAAATGCACTAAAACTCAAGTTAACTAAAAAATACAACTTATTAGTTTTAGTGCATTTTTACAGTAAATTACTGGCAACAGTGTTGCCAGTATTTTACTATAAAAAAAAAACTGGTAAGGTCTAACAGTGTAAATGTAAATCAGTCAATTAAAATTGACACACATATTTTAAATGGGTTTTTTTAATTATTATTATTAATGCATTGATAATTTTTCAGTGCCAATCCTGGTCAGTTAAGAGAGTAAATTTAACAATTACTGAAAAGATTCATTGTTTAAACGGTTTTATTTAATCCAGCAGGAGCCCTGACTCTGTTGATAACACTCAGCATTACATCTTTGTTAATATTGCTTCATTAGTTAAATTAATAAACACCGTTAATAGTACAGTAAATTGAATTGCAATGCTGCATCAGTGTTATATGCAGACGTGAGATTGTTTTTTTCTCTTCTTAACTGTGATTCTTTCTTTGTTTTCTCACAGATGCAGAAAATAAGGGAACGACCGAACCTTTGAACAATTAGACTGGTCATCAGTGATGATTGATAGTCACTGTAACAATAGACACATTAACAGAGTTTGAAGTCAACTCATGTGTGCTTTTGAGATGTGAAACTAATAAGTGAAGACTTTTGTTTGATTTGGCATAAATACAGAAGAATGCTTTCATTCATTATGAAGTTGATGTTATAGTCTGCTGTTCGCACTGATGCTGATGAAACTGTTTTCTTGTTTTTAAGAGACAGTTTCACTGTTTAGTATAATTCAACATATTACACTCTGTGGCTTGATTATTGTTACATTTTTAGAGAATATTGCAGAAATAATCTTATACTGAACTTTAAAGGTGCTATATGTACTTTTTCGAGGCCTCTATCGGTGGTGTTTTTGATTGCAACCAATTTTCACAAGAGCACTCGTGCTCGAACACAAGAGCGATCATGGCCACACTGAGACTTTCAACACACCGGAGAAAGCATCACACAACATGCTGGAAACTCATGTAAACTCCCACTGCAACGTTACAATAATAGGACACTTTTATCAGCTTGACGTTGAACTAATGCTCCATGCTCGTAACATGATAACGGTACATTTGTGGTGTGTATCTAGCATAAGGCATTTCATTAACTATTCGTGTATCTTTCACAATCAGCAATGCCAACATCTGTGAGTGTATAATATGATAACAAAAGCGGTTAGACTGAACAATTTCAGTGTAACAGGATCGTAGGAAGTAACATTACTGTACTGAATGTGTCTGGAAATGTGTATTATAAACAATATGATAGTAGTGGGATGAATGACGTTAGACAGTAGATCTAGTACAGAAAATAAAAGTTACATCCTAAAGCACCTAGTTTTTGTTATTCTGGATCAGTCTTTTGTGTTCATTTCATGTGTCATGTATGTTGTAGTTTACCATGGTATTTCATTACAGTTTACCATTATTTCTGCATTTACATTTTTGTTTTGTTTTTTATATTTATGTGGAGTTTGTATTGCAGTGTGTGTTGTGCTAGGAAGGAGTGGTTTGGTGTTATCAGACTCCATGTCGCATAGACTGTATAAAAAGGAGAGAGGCTCGGAAGTGCGCATGCATGTCACATCCGATGGATTTTGCAGAAAATCCGACCCGGAGACTTCACATAGAAATAGGAATACTGGCCTTCAGAGGTAAAAGCAAAACCCGACAAGGGGGTGATTGTAATGTGTAATGTTTACAAAACCTTCACATACAGGCAATGAAAGCATTCATTTTAGTAGAAAAGTTACATATAGCACCTTTAAGTGTAAATGCTTTTAATATACAAAGTAGTTTTATTTAAAGCACTTACTCTGTTACATTATAATTTTTTATTCAATTTTTCATGCTTAATTTTTTTTTAATGATTGCCGTCTTGAAAACCTTGTAAAAATAGACTCACATTTTTTGGACTGAAGTTGTAAATGCTCTTAAGTTGCTCTGATGTTATGTGTTCATACAGAATAATTTTATGGCACGGATCGCAAAAAATAAAAGGATTACACATTGGATTCATCACTTTGTTGTGACATTCTGCATTATTTTTCTAACATCCACACCGCTTGTCCTAGCGGGTCACATTAAGATGCAGCATCTTGGGCCGTAGGCAGAGGAAACACCTTGAAGAAGTGGCCAGCCATAGCAGGACTATTTTTTTCTTGCTAAAGGTATTAAACTATATTTAGGCCTAATATATATTTTAAGAAAAAGGAGCTTATAACTTAATTTATTAACACCACTTTTGTGTAGTTTTGGTGTATTGGTATGTCTTAGGTGAAAAGTTAAACTGAATCAACATGTTTTAGCCTATATTTTCAAAGGCCTTTTAGACAGGCCTACATCATGATGAGTCACTGACTGATGTTGGCCGTAACTGCAGTCACGCTCACTAAAGCAGAGGCGACCTCTCTCTATTTCATATCCAGTGGACAATAGACTGTTGGACCGCTGTGGAATAGTGTGACGTTACTCATTCTTTAGCAGAAATCGCGTGACCGGGTCGGTTTGCCACGAGTCATCAATATCCCTTTCTGGATCCCATCTGGATTCGTTCGGATGCGGCCTAAAGCAACATCATGAGGAACCTGCCCTTCTTTTTTGGGGCTTTATTGCTCTTGGACGGTGAGGCAAATTTATTTTCATTAATTCAACACTTTTAATTCAGTGTTTTAAGTAGCCTAATTAAAACACAGAAGAAACTGCTAATTTGCTCTTGTCATCTAATTTGCTTGTAGCCTATCACCATTGTTTCTTGAAAAAAACTGTTATAACTTTTCTACAAATAGACGTTGTGATAAATCATAGTGTGAAAGTTACAACGCCATTATACGCCTTATTCACGGCAGCGCCATCTTTGATTTTTAATGAGAATGAAAGCGAGGCTGTGAGGGATAGACTTGCATCTCTTCAATGGGCTGTACTGTTATTTAATGTGTTTTCGGATTGTTCTGCTCATGAAACACTGGAAAAATATCTTTCCAAGAAATGTCAGTTGACTAAAAACTCCCGACAATGTAAGCTGTGGAAAATTGTAAGTAATCTAGCCGCTTTTTTCAGCTTTTTACAGCGGATGCCATTGGAAACACAGTATATCCCTCACAGCCGCACTTTCATACCTGTCATGGCGCTGCTCTGACTAATTGTTAGCGACTTTAACTACTTTTACTTTTGACCATCCAGCTCTAATTCTCTTCAGAGGTGCTGCGGAGTACGTTTTTCTTTCCATAATGTTGCAGCATTTGTTTGGTTTGCATGAGAAAGATCAATTTAATTTAACAGTAGCCTACTGTTTTCATCAGATATTGAAAGATGACATAGGCCTATACTCAAAAGTACGTTCTGTCTGATCTAAATCACTTCAGATGATCTCAGTTCTCACTTTATTTCTCTTCTCTGCGGTTACAGACCGTGTCGAACAACAGCACTAACAAAACCTCTCGTTCATGTACAAACCTCACAAAATACACTGAATAGAGTAATGAAGAACTGATTTGATTCAAGTTTACATATTAATTCTTTGTTTGTGTTATTTTCACTTCTCATTTCATACATCTTTTGAGTTTAATAGTAGACCACATCCTGTAGATGTTTGACACTATCTCAGCAGACACAAACTGACCCTTCATGCTAGGCCTATATCATGCACCGAGTGAGATTTATAAGTCTGGACTTTGTATTTATTCCCTACTGTTTAATTCATCACTTTGTCATGATGATGTCCTGCATTCTTTCTTGGTGAATGAAAATATATTGATATATGATAATTTTTGGGGGGTGGTAGGGGAGGGGGATAACAGTGTTGTGCAGTTTTGTTATAATTTGTTATGTCTTGCCATTTGAAAAAAAAAAAACATATGAAAATACATTTAGGAATTGGGACATCGTTTTTTGCCTTCAGACTTCAGATTGTACGACTATGAAGCTCATGAAGCCCCCTATTAAAACAACATGACTTTTCTGAAAAAGAAGAAGCTGATACCATGTTTATAATTTCAGTAGGATCGTGGACCCTACTCCACTTTTATTATATTAAAAAAAAATGTTTGGTCTTCAGCTTCTTCCTAAAATGTAATAAATTGAAATTTGTCATAATTGGCTCTATGCACAGCTGCACTACTTCCTGAACTTCCTTTTTGCCATTATTGGCCAAATTGATTAATTCAGGTGTGTCTGATTATTGTTGCCATGACTACTGAGGTCAGGCGCACCTGAATTAATCAATTTGGCCAATAATTGCAGACAGGAAACAAGGAGCTGGCTGAAATTCAGGAAGTAGGGCAGCTGTGCATGAAGCCCATTGACAAACGTAGGCAAGGTAAGTTTAATTTAGACTATAAATCACATTTCTAACACAATGGCAATTCAAAGTGCCTTACATAAAAATAAATCATAAAATAATCACGACAAGTGCTAAGAAATATTATGACAATAAAAGCAAGAAAAACAGACACTGATGAAAATTTATTTATCTGTATCCAAAAAGTAAAAAAAAAATACTTAAAAGAGGATATGTATAAGATACAGTGTACTCAGTCAGATATACAGCTCATTCAGTAAATGCACAGCTACAGATGTGTTCTGAGTCTGGATTTGAATACTGTTGATGTCTTCTGGAAGCTGCGGTTTCTGATGCAGAAAAGTTAGTTCATGCATTCATGATCTTGAGACTATATGCTTTATTAGCCGGTTGTCCTGCATCCTCAATAAACAAGCTAGTACAAAATGCACTAGGTCAAGAAAATATGATCATATAACACCAATTTTATAATCTACACTGGTTACCCATTAAGTTCCATATCAATTACAAAGTACTACTACTGACTATAAAGCCCTAACTGGTTTAGCTCCAGTGTATTTAATGGACCTTCTATCACCCTTTAATCTATCGCGTTCTTTAAGATAACTAAATTCGAGGCTTCAGGTCATTCCTAGGATACAGTATCTAAGTCCACTAAACTAGTTATTGCTTTGACATGACCACTGAAAGGCCTGACTCTAGACACAGCAAGATTCCTCACTTGATGAAGGCCGTCTTTATAGATGTTTATAAATAGACTAGTTCCGTCTTCCAGGTTCATCGGCGTCTGATGCTGATGTTAGTTTTCTCCACACTTGTTCTGGATTTGATGTCATAAACCAGGACAACAATGGCAACCACAGCAGCCACGCCCATCAGCGCAGTGACGACCAATCGGATCACAGCTTCAGTGGTGTCAAAACAAAGGTCGCAGCCTGAGGAAAGACAAAAAATAAGTAACCAGTTAAATAAATAACACTACCGAAAAAACTCTGCATCAGACCTACCTGAACTCAACCAATTGAGATCACTGATGTGTTTAGTCTGGTTTCCGACGGGATTGTTGATCACACAGCTGTAAGTGTTGTTATCCTGATATTCCACCTCCAGAGGTAGAGAGAGACTGATGCTGAGATCAGACACACTGATGCTGGACAACACACTCATTCCTTTAAACCAGGAGAGAGTCACATGACTCACGTTCAACACTGCACACAGCAATGAACATTTCGATAAAGGATATTGTGTGCAGTAACTAGAGATCTCAGGAATGGGCAGATGAGCTGGAAAACACAAGATATAAATGACAGTAAGATGAATATAAAGTTGGATTCTGAAATATTATTATGGGTAATGAGTCCCAGGACTAACATGAATACGAGCAACAAAACAGAAATCCACTCACGATAAACGGTAACATTGTAAAGCGCGGCTGGATCCTTCACTCCGATGCTTTGTTTATAAACTCCACTGTGTTCATGGCCGATGTTTGTGATGGTGAGAGATCCGGTGTGATCATCCAAATGGAGTCTGTCAATGAATCTCTGGTCGTGATAATCTGTAGAGAAGACACCATTCTTTTCCTTGATTCTTGCAATGCGAACACTTCCAAACCTCCACTCGATCTGCTCATATCTCTGTATGTCCGTGATGGTTTCTAGAGTGACAGATTCTCCCACCGTCACTGGCACTGTCTTCACCACATCGGACTCAGCAACAAGCACACCTGAGGAACAAGTTAGATAATTTGAGGTTTAGAAACTCCTTCCCTCAGCGCGCCTCCGTTAGATGTGACTCCGTTAGACTCTGTTTTGTGCACGGGAACGCGCTCAGTTTAGCAGCTCAGCTCTACAGATGTGTGCTCGGGTTTTTTTTTTTTAATTATTATTATTTTTTTATAATAATGTTGCCTTCAACCAGACTGTGTTCCTTAATATATTCAATAGAATAATGCTCCTGACTGATCTTCACTGCAGTCATTATTTTTAGACTATGAACTTCGTTCTGATCTCTTTGTCAATTCAATTCACGTTTATTTGTAACACTTTGCCCATTATTGTTTCAAAGCAGCTTTACAGAAAATGTAACATTATAATTTAGAGTCATTATCAGTGTTGACTGTCCTTGTATTTCAGAAATGTACATGTAGGCCTATAAATTGAGCCCGAAGGAAGGCTATTCTAGAGTTTAGTAGTAAAATGTGAAAACTCTCTCTCTCATAGTTCCAATCGGAACTATGATAGTTCCAAATTTCCCCTAAAAATGAAAATTATGTCATAATTTACTCTCTTACTTGATTTGAAATTGTATGAATTTATTTGTTTTGCTTAACACATTTTGAAGAATGTCATTGATCACAGTTGATGGACCCCATTGACTTCCATAGTATTTTTTTCCCTATATGGAACTATGGAAGTCAATGGGGTCCATCAATATCTGATTACTGACCTTCTTCAAAATGTGTTCAGCAAAAGAAAGAAATTCATACAGTTTTAAAACCACTTGAGGGAGAGTAAATGATGACAGAATTTTCATTTTTGGGTGGAGTATATGCAAATACACAGGAGCAAACCCATTTAGGGCTTTATAGGTCAGCAACAAAACTTTAAAATTAATGTGGAACTTAATAGACAACCACTGTAGAGATGATACAATTGTTATATGATATATTTTCTTGATCTAAGAACTCTAGCTGCATTTTAGATGAATATAGCTTGTTTATTGAGGATGCAGGACAAGTTTGTGTTACATAACCTAGAGGTCTAGAGGACTTTTGTGTTTGAGACCGTCACTGACACACATCTCTCATACGTGTAGAGGTGCTGCATGTCATTTTTCTGTTGTGCACTTGTTTGGTTCAGTCTACTTTCAATAGTTGTGGTCTTAAAGGAAATAATAATGCCTTCGCTTGTTTACCCATCAGTCAACCGCACACATGCAATAAACAGGAGCGAGACGTTTGTCCACTCAACAGAAACCACATTCATCTGGGTCAGTCTTCCTAAACTAACCTGAAACACACTCGACCGCAACAGGTTTCACTTTAACTCTGAAACTGAGCTGAGAGTGTGTATAGCATTCAGTGGAAACATGTTTCAACTTGCAAGAGAAAAACGTTTTATTCCACAGAAAAGAAGAAAAAGAAGAAGCCCTTCACACACTAACGCTCAGACATCCAGGGAAAATAAACACCTTTTATTTGTGATTGTGTTATTGTTCTCTTGTTTTTCTTGTTCTTGTTTCACACGTTTGGTTCACTTTTAATTCTAATAGGCTAACAGATCAGACTCGTGTCTAGAGTTGTTTTAAGATAACGATTCTGTAGCCATTGAATGCAAATAATCTTAAATGGAAATCGGTTCTCTGATCGGATCAGTTGTGAGATGGTCTCAGTTCTTGTGGTTATTTCTGCATCTTCTCTTCTCTGCGGTCACAGACCGTGTCTACAGGGAACAACAGCGTTAACAAAACCTCGCGCTCATTTACAATCCTCACGAAATACATTGAATAGAGTCTAATGAAGAGCTGACTTGATTTAAGTTTACACATTAATTCTTCTTACACATGTTATTTTCACTTCTCATTTCATATATGTGTTTTTTGTGACTTTGAGTTTCCAGTAGACCACATCCTGCGACGGTATCTGTCTCGACACACACAAACTGACCCTTAATGTTCTTATATTGTGTTGTCTAGGGAACAACAGCATTAAAAAAAACCTCAAACCTCTCAAAAAACACTGAAAAAAGTACAATGAAAAACTGACTTGATTCATGTCACTTTATGTACACATTAGTTCTGTGTTCTTCTCTTTTTAAAGGGATAGTTCACTTTGAAATTAATTTTTGGTATGTTTTTAGCTTACCTCAAGGGCATCCAAGCCCTCAGATCACTTAGACGTGACTATGAAGAGGTAAAAACGATATAAATACTGTTTGTTTTCTCACACAAACCGCTCGTTTCGTGTCTTAGGCCATCAATGTGTACTTACATTTACGAGTCATTAAATCATGTTTAATTTGGACTTCTCTGTGCATGCTCTTTGAGGTGGTGACCATAGACCTCCATTATATGACTGATAGACGTGAATGGTTTGACCTAAAAATATCAAAATTGAAAATACTCTGGCAACAAAGACTTGGATGCCCTTGAGGTAAGCTAAAACAAATCAAAAATTAATTTCAAAGTGAACTATCCCTTTAGGACGACTATATATTTTTGTTAACTTCATGTTCCAGTTGACCAATGACATTATAACTGGTTTAATGTGACTTATGTTTCAATCATCATATAATCTCTTATTATTAAAATATTCTGCAGGCAAAAAAATAAAAAAAAAGTTTCAGCAGACCACATCCTGCAGACAGTTTCTGTTTTTGGGTATTTAAACCACATTTTTCAGTGCACAATTGAATGTAAATGTGTATTTAGAGAGATTTTAAAGTACAGAGAGTTTGTTTATCACATTTTTCATTTACTTTGATGTAGATATGTGATTACAAGGAAACTGCATGACTTGTGTCGACTTGTGATATCAAGCCATCATTTCGCATATGAATTTGGGCTATATATTGCACATCTTCGCCTCCTAGTGTCCTGAAATGAAAATGTCTGATTGTAATAGACTGAAGTTGACCTCACGATGATGTAGCAAAACTTTTTTCTCCACAATGTAAATTTTGACCAAAACCTGATCAGTTAATTTTGTTGTAAGCTCATGAGTAAAATTTGCTAAGGATATCCTCATGGGAAATATGTGCTAATAATAGGTTATGCTCATGAGTAATATGTGCTAATAATAGGTTATGCAGATCCAGACAAGTGTTTTAAACGGATTTCTTCATAAAGAAGTTGTACTGACTTGTACTGCATCTACTGATTACAGCAGCACTTGTCTTGATTCGGTTGACAGTTCCAGTTATTAGGCAATACATGATACTGACGATTAATAAGAAGATTATAAATATCAAGAATAAAATACCCTGTCTCTCTCTCTGTGTGAAAATGTTCAACCTTAATGAACACCTCAAGGTTCACTTTGGGATGACGTATCACATCCGCTACCTTCGCAGAAATCACGTGACTTAGTTCGATTAGAGCCCATCATCATCATCATCATCATCATAATCAGTAAGCTATCCTGGATCAAGTCATTCAGTTTGGATGCGGTCAGAAGTGACATCAACATGAGGAACCTGTCTCTCCTTTTGGGGCTTGTACTTGTCCATGGTGAGTCACGTTTATATTAATTCGACACTTTCGGTTTTCAAAACGCGCGTGCTGTTAACTTAAGATGTTTGTGTGCATTTCTGAACCAGCGTTTCTTACCATTCTTAATAATTATTACCTTTATTCAAAAAAACGTTTATTCATATGCCAGGATGTCAGCACCATTAAAAGCCATTAAAAGTGTAATTTTAGTAGAAGTGGTGTGTTTGTTTGATGGTGAAAACTAGAGGGTGCTGACTGCTGACGCCCTGCAATATCCTACTATTTTACGTGAAAACCGATAAAAGAATCAGTGTTTCTGCTTATAGTGGAATTTAACATAATCATTCGCTGTTTTGCTCTATGCAGGTTTTGTGAGGTGATTGTTGTCAGTCATGGCGCGAGAGAACAGAAGACACAAATACAGCACATTAACTAGTTACTCTTTAGTGTGTTGGTGAACTATATAGCCTATCAATATAAAAGACATTTTTAACTCTTTTTTTTAATATAAATTTAAGAATGATCCGTGATAATGTTTATTGCTTTACAACTTTCAGTGGAACTAGGTCAAAACAGGAAAAAGATAACACGTGATTACCATCAAACGAGAATTTTTATGGCTGTTACGAACCTGCTCTTGTAACAGGTGTGGGTTTGTTTGAAGTGTCTATTTCTTCAGAATTGGTATGCCACCCGGCCACGCCTTATTTCATTCGAAAGATTTTTTGTCAAGGTTTTTTAATTATTATTGTATAATTGGAAGAACATAAAACCAGTGAGGATTCGTAGAAATGACTCAGAGAGACAGTTGTGAGGGATTTAAGGAGTTTTTGAATGTACACTCTAAACAAAAATGGTGCTATATAGCACTAAAAGTGGTTCATTGGCTTGTAATCATGGGGAACCACTTTAAGTGCCATATCTTTATCAAATGGTGCTGTGTAGAACCATAAGAGGTGCATTATAGCACCTTAACCACCCCATAGAACCGCTGAAGAACCCCTGAACAACTGCTGAAGAACCAAACTGGGCTTAAGGGGTTCTGGTAATGGTGCTATATAGCACCATGACCACCGCAAAGAACCCCTGAAGAACCCCTGAAGAACTGCTGAAGAACCTTTTTTTTTTTTTTTTTTTTTTTTTTGAGTGTCCAGGTAAAAAGTTCCTTACAAAAAACTAAAGTAGGGCTTAGTACCCTGCGTGTAAGAAAATAAAGTCCTAGAAATACTAGCAAATTACTAGAAAATAAATGTTTATTACAGTACTTTATTAAAGTTGAAATGAGCATCTCATTTATGCTATGGAAAATATGATATTTCCACTTGTGAACTGCTATTTACCATTGTTCAAGTGCTTTTGTTGTCATAGAGCCTAATAAGTTTAGAGCCTACATCTGGCAAAGGGACTACCAATGAAAACTAGCCTTCGGGCTATTTTGGATATATTTATGTTTAAGAATGTTAATTAATGTACACTGGCCCCTTTTTCTAATAAATAAATAAATAAATCTGCTACAGCAAGAAAATGATTTATCCAAACTCAAACGGTAAATAATATGCTGTATATTTTCTAGATCATGAACAGTAGCATGTTAAATCTGGTCAGGTTAATTGAAATAAAATTACAGTATATGATAATTGCATTTATTTATTATCTGTGTGAAATTACCATGATTTCAGCTACTGTACTATACTGTAAATCTCATCAAACTCAGGTTTGTTTATCTGTGCATGCTTGTGTTTGCGTGTGAACTTCCTGATACAGTAACTTCCTTTTTTTTTTTGATTTATGGTTGGTGTTTTTTGTTTTTGTGAGGTGGGAAAGAGAGAAAGAGAGGGGGGACGCTTGCCCTCGAGGTTATCAGCGCCGACAGGAACTTACTTTTGACAGTTTACAAGTCATGACAGGTTTAATTAAAAAACCAGCATAATAGCATTTGCTACACTTAAAAATAATGTCAGGAAATCTAATTGCCTGAGTCTTTCTTTTTCATCCTGTATATTGTTTAGTAAATGTTCTAGCATCTGTCACAGTGTTACAGTATGTTTTAGAAGTACATCTGTAAATCTTGCCAGCAGTTTTACTCTCTGTTTAGAAACTGCTTCTGTTTGTTCCTCAGGAGTGTTTGGTGTCGATGAAGTGAAGTCCGTGTCCGTGATGGTGGGAGATTCTCTCACTCTAAACTCTGATTTTACTGAAACAAAGGGAGACGAGCTGCAGTGGAGGATTGAAGGTGAAAGCAATGTCTTAGCACAGATTGATAGAGAAGTCAATAAATTCTTAGTTCCTGGGAATAATGAAGAGAGATTCAGAGGCAGACTGAAGCTGGATCATCAGACTGGATCTCTGACTATCATGAACATCCGAAACACAGACTCTGGAGAATATGAACTAAAGATCAAGGACAGCATGAATGAGAACAATTACAGATTCACTGTCACTGTCCGCGGTGAGTAACTCAGTGTGATCATTATGTGGTGTAATCACATTGATACACAATAATCCTTTATGAATAACTGTTTATTTATTTAAGTTCCCTAAGTTCATAAACACTTTTGATGATTGAAATTACAAAATAGCCTTAAATGATTAAATAACTTGCAAAATGTTTTGTTTTCTAATGGATTGCTTCTGACAGGGTTTCAAAACACCAAATACAAGTAAAAATCACAGTTGAAACAATATTACTCCCGATATATATGCCCGATAACTTTCTTAATGAATTTTGACAATGTATGATTTTGAGAACGTGATATTTCGATTGATGATCAAATCGCAACCGTTGTGATGTAATATAAACAGTGTTAATGCATAGTAAATGCGACTCTGCAGTGTTTGAGTCGCTTATAACTTGCATTTAAACACATGCGCCAACCATCACCCAAATTAGACAGACTATATATATTTTTAAACATTTTAAAATGCACACTATTTTGAGAGAATTTATTATTTTAATGTTTTTAGTGATTACTTTATGGAAGTTAAATCATTTAATTTAATTTAATTCATGTATTTGTATTTGAATATTTCATTGGCATCATTGTAATTGCAACAAAAAGGTTTGTCAACTATTTTTAATATTACTAAGTTTATAAATATTTATATCAATTTTCCTTTTTTTTTTTCGCTTTGCATTTGTTCTTTTATATTTTGTGTTCTTTAAACCATGAGGAAATAAATCCTGTTATCACAAATGAGGTCCTATGTCATGTTGCGGTACCATTGTTTTGGCTCAAATTCCTGATTCTGAGCTCCTTTATTTCCAGATGTCGTGATTTGTGTTTGTTTTTATCAAAAGAGTAGGTATAGAGGAGAAACAGGTCTTATTATAATTCACCAGCATGATTTCAGATGTTCCCATGAGCATCTGGAGTTTCAACAGAAGAAAAAACATCTGACCGTCTGTACCAGAGTTTACCAAACTGAAGGGGTTAATTACTCTCCCGCATGTCGTTCCAAACCCGTAAGACCTTCGTTCATTTTCGAAACACAAATGAAGATTTTTTTTTATGAAATCCAAGAGCTTTCTGACCCCTCATAGACAGCAAAGTCATTGCAACTTTCAAAGCCCAGAAAGGTAGTAAAGATTTAGTAAAGACACTTTGATTACTTGGGTCAACAACAGCATAGGAGAATAATGTGGAAGAGAGGAGATTGTTGTATAATGATTAGTTGCTGAATAAACAAAGGTCATATGGTTTGGAGCAAAACAGGGGTGAGTAATTATTGACAGAATTGACATTTTTGGGTGAACTAACCCTTGAAGGTCACGGGCTCCTAGGGGTTTGAAAAGGGAATTGAAGGGGGTTGTGAATCCAAGACGCATGCATAAAAACATAAAAATGTTATATTAAAATAAATAATTTTAAAATGAGAATGAAAACACTTAAAATGTGACCATTAACCTAAAGAAAATCTTTCAGTCAAAAAGCTTCAGCTGACAAAAGTTTGGGAATCTTTTGTCCGTACAAAGAGTCACATTAACAGTGTCACTTATTACTTTTGATTACTCACAATAAATTAATAAACAGTCTGAAATATTTCTTGTTAAATTGTTTATGTTTGTTTAAAATCTTTCAAAATCTTTCTGCTTATTTTCACATTTAACTTAGATTTGGAGTCACAAACTCAGTAGTACATGCCCCATAGTACATGTTCATTTAAAAAGGTATTTTTTGAAAGTGACATGCAGTATAAGACTAAACCATGTCCATGTGTTCTCCAGATGTGTTTTTTGTTGATACAGATGGAGTGAAGTCAGTATCAGTGACTGAGGGAGATACTGTCACTCTACACACTGGTGTTACTGGTGATCAGTTAATGTGGAAGTTTGGAGATCAAGAGTTAACCTTTTAACTGTCGCCCCCACTAGTTGAGCTCAAACCCAAACCTGACATACACACACTAAACCAGTCACAGTTCATGAACCCTCTGGACTACACGCATAATTCTGGTCTCTTTAGAAAGATGATAGATGTGGGTTTGATGTTCAGGTATCAGAATTAATTATATTACTAGGAAAAAATTGTTATAGATGATTATATATTTCGAAAAAGCAATTATTATCTAATTTGCATCAAATGTATTTATGAATAAACATATGAAACTGTGCCAGAACAATTTGGAAATTGATAAAGTCAAAGTCTGAACAAGTTAGAATTGAAATCTGAAGTTGAAGACACTAAAAATTACGCTCCTGTAATATTTTTTCTTAGCGAAAGCACATTTAAAAAAAATATAAAAAAGGACATTTGGAGAACCTGAAAAGAACGATTAACAATTCATTCTGTAGAAGGTGAACCACAACATAACACTATTTATAGTTGAGCACATTTGGTAAAGCAGCAGTTTATGAACATTAAATCAGTTTTGCTTTGTCTGAACAGTTAAGCTGTCTAAAAGCATAATAGTTCAGCATACGTTACGAACATCACTAAGAGTCTGACATTTATTTCTGCTCTTCTTTGCTCAGTTAAATTTCAATTCTAATTCTTTGTAATTCTAAACTGTTAGTTTGTCATCCACTCTTCAGGCATGAAACATAGCGCGAGTACAGGTCTTTTCTCACTATCAATGTGTAGCTTTCTCAGCTACTTTTCAAATAACTATTTACATATAGAATGCAAACTCACAATAATACTGGCTCAATTCTGGTATGTAACACCCAGTTTTCAACATCCAATCAATTCTAATTTATATATATATATATATATATATATTAACATTGATCCTGTTTCACTTGGTAACACATTTCATTATAGAAGTAAAATCCATTGAATTCATTGAAAAAAGTCCATGAAATCCATTTACTGTCGATTTTAACACATTGAAGTATGTTTAGGTGATGTGCGGTTTCAGTGTGTAGGTGTTCGAGTCAGCAATAAATAATTTGTTTGTTGATTCCCAGAAAATTTTAACACCGTGATTGTGTGGTGCTGTCAAACACTGATTTCAGAGCAGACTGACAGCAACACTGGCTCAACCAGTGAATTGAGTTAGTTGAAAAACCAGGGGGTCAGACAGGGACAGACAGGCTTCAGTAAACCTAGCTATTTAAAAAATTAGTTAATATCATTATTTTTGGAATTCTAAATGGCCTTTTTAATGCCAGTGATGCATAAATTACACAATGCACATTACAAGGAATACACTAAAACACCTGACTACTTAACGTTATGCTTGAAAACCTACACACTATAGCTGACTAAAAAAAAAATACAATATAAGCCTTCTCTCTGTAACAATATATTTATTTACTGCATTTTCCATCAATCAGAACTTTACTACTGTTACATTTGGTGCAGTGAATATTATACGGCGGCTATATTTGGACAACATATAGCCTAGCCTTTGGTGGCTTTGTTAGAACAATTTGAATCACTGCAATCAGCACGTCACAAAGAACACTGGGGGCGCGCGATTTTATTCTGTATAGCAAGCAAGATGATGTAAAGGCCTACTACTGAAATACCAACGTAATTTATTGAAGAATTCTCAAGACATAGGCTATTATTCTCTATGAAGATATGTCACGTAAACGAATCAGATTTAAACAATATTCCTCTTAAATCAGCGCTTTTTGAAGAAAGAACTCTTAACTTATTTTATGCTCTGGAATTGTTGCCATTAAAACCACTTCTGCTTTGTATGATTGAATGGATCTGTTATGTTTAAACGACAATAATAATTCAGAACTCCACAATTTAATGTTAAGTGTATTGTTACGATCTCTTGATTAAAATCATAAAGACGCTATCGCTGTGACATTGCCACCTTAAAAAATCAAAGATTGATATTTTGACCTTTAGAACGACATATTTTATTTCAATATTAATAAATAATTTAATGGTAAAATCATGCCGGATATGTAAACAAACACATATCGGAACCAGTGATGGTCTTGCGCAAGTTAATGGATTAAACGGCGCTGTTGACTCGAGATGGGGAAATATTCATCTGAATAAACAGACCAGAGACCTCAACATCAGTAACATCCGAAGAGATCAGACTGGAGTTTATACATTGGAGATCAACACCAGCAATTGGATCTTACACAGAAAATTCCGTATTAGTATCGGTGAGTAGCTCAAACTTTAGGCTAAGGTTAGTCTCGTTATTGGGGAAACATTTGCACTTTTAATTTAGCCTACAATTGTCTTCAGTAAGAGAAGTAGCCTGGAGTTTGTGTAATAATGAGCTATTAATGAAATTTCAAATTAAAAACAAAGAAACAAAAAAAAGTTAAACAACAACAACAAAAAAGCTATAGGCTAGGCCTATATCAAAAAAGTGTAATTTTTTTAACTGCAGACAGTCATATAGCCTACAATAACCATCGACCAACGGTAAATTTGTTAAATTATTCAAACATTAAATTCTAAAGAAAACCACCTCAAGAAAATAGTGCGTGAGGTTGCGAGTGCATGGGCCTGCGGAATTTTGAGATTTTGAGATGACTTCCTGACGATCACAGCATGTTTTGATGTTTTGTTCTCTTATTAAATGTTTCCTTTTTTTTTTTTAACTCTTATCATGTTTTTATGTTGATTAAATTATGTAGGCCTACTGTATGAATACACTATGAAAGTTTTTTTTATTAACTAAAAATAAATAGAAAACATCTTAGGGGAAATTCGATTAGGCCTACTGGTTTGGGTGTTAATCATATTCATTTTCAGTTAAAAGAAACAATTTATATTGCATCCAATAGCAACAAAGCACATGAGCGTGAATCACGCGATATTATTCTCCTTTGATCTTATATGTGAATGGAAAAAGGCCTAGTGATGCCCCTGGTACACCGGCAACATGTGAGAAGTGATTTACTTTAAGAGATGCTAATGTGCTGATCCAATAAGAAAAGAAAGCTGCCCATCTTGGCTGGATTTATTTCACCTCGCCCACTTTCAAGACAAGCCATTTGGCATCTTAGTGCACACTTTCCTCAAGACAAATGATTTTTATGGAATCACTCATGTCTGGTGCACAAGTAAACCATGTGTTAACACACTTGGTTAAATGTTCAGTTGAATCTTAAGAAACTGTTTCTGTTTGTTCTCCAGATGTGTTTAGCGATGAGGAAGATGGAGTGAAGACAGTGTCAGAGACGATGGGAGATTCTGTTCTTCTACATACTCATGTCACTCACATACAACAAAATGATCCAATAGAGTGGACCTTTGGAACTCAAAACATCCCCCTAGCAAAAACTGATGGAATGAGCTACAGTATATCATATAACTACAATGATGAGATATTCAAAAATAGATTGTATCTAGATATTCGAACTGGAGATCTAACAATCAAGAAGTCCAGCACTGAACACTCAGGCCTTTATCAGCTGAAAATCATCACCAGCTCATATACCATACAGAAGAGCTTCAGGGTTGCTGTCAGTGGTGAGTAACTTGTCTTTTAAAAGCAAGATATTGTGATATGAACACAAATGTGCATGTTTTAATAGAAATACAATTATATATTTATATATATATATATATATATATATATATATATATATACACACACACACACACACACACACACACACTAATTACTGTCTTTATCGTTACAGGTTCAGGTCGGTCAAGTGCTGTTTCAGTATTATCTGGTGCCAGTGTTCTGATGATTTGGGCTACTGTTTTTTTACTGCAAGAAGTATAAGTAACCAAGGAAAAAAACGTAAGTATTACATACAAAAAACTTGACAAAGAAACACTAACTTTTTTTTAACTTTTGCTTAAGTAATTTACTCACCCCCATGTCATCCAAGATGTCCATGTGTTTCTTTCTTCAGTCGAAAAGAAATGAAGGTTGTTGATGAAAACATTCCAGCAAATTTTTTTTTGATGAAAACGTTACAAGATTTGTTCATTTATATTAAATATTAAATACACCACTGATCTTGTGTTTTATCAGCACTTTACTTTAGACAGAACAGGCAACCTTACCATTAACACATATACAGTAGAGCTGATCTAGTGCTATTTTAGCCATTTAATATTTAGTAATTTACCCTGGACACCATTAATTGTTTAATTTAACAAATATTGACTCCTGAGATAAAGACCTTTTATATCAATTCAATCAGACTGTCAGTGCTCTAATTATCATCATATCAGCAATAAAAGACTTAAAATTTACAAATCACAACATATTCTTCACAGTGTGTAATACATTATGGTAAAGGCTAATAAACAAAAACAAGTGTAGTGAAGAGGAACATAGCTATTATCATTATTTTTATCAACACTATTATTTATTCATTACTATTTTCATTTTTTTAACTTGGTGCTTTTACTGTGAATATTTCTGTTTTTATAACAGGGTTCAGTGAAGATAAAGTGAATCAAACTCAGGATCTGGATGAATAATGAGAAGGATCAACCTGTAATAATCTGTAACAATGTAAACATGGGCTTTGCATGAAATACTGATCAGTGTAGCTATTGCCTCATTTTTTTTATTGTCGATGTCGGAAATGATTGTAATGAAACTTAAAAAATAAGACCTCCCCCAACCTCCAGACTTTCTCCACTTCAATGGAGAAAAGTGAAGTCAATTGGCTTTATGCCCGGCTGCACTACTTCCTGAACTTCAGCCAGCTCCTTGTTTCCTGTCTGCCATTATTGGCCAAATTGATAAATTCAGGTGTGTCTGATTATTGTTGCCATGACTACTGAGGTCAAGCACACCTGAATTAATCAATTTGTCCAATAATGGCAGACAGGAAACAAGGAGCTGGCTGAAGTTCAGGAAGTAGTGCAGCTGGGCATAAAGCCCATTAGAAGCACTCACTTCCTGATGGCTGAGCGAACTGCACAGGCTCACACTGAGCTTGACGGCG